TACATGCTCTTGACCGGAATCAAACCTGGGACCCTTCAGTCTGAAGGCCGACACTCTATCCACTGAGCCAAACCGGTTTCGGTGCATAAATGTATTATAAAATGATTTAAATACATGGCCAATTTTTATCACCATCTATAAAACTGCAATAAAAATATTCCATGTAATACTTTTAGGGAAAAAAAAAACTTGATATTATTCTATCAAGTTACTACTAATTTTACTGTCTGGGATATTGTAATGTACTTTCTTTTTTAAAATATATTTTTATTGATTTCAGAGAGGAAGGGAGAGGGAGAGAGAAAAACATCAATGATGAGAGAGAATCATTGATTGGCTGCCTCCTGCATGCCCCCTACTGGGGATCAAGCCCTCAGCCCTTGCATGTACCCTTGACTGGAATTAAACCCAGAACCCTTCAGTCCATAGGCTGATGCTCTATCCACTGAGCCAAACTGACAAGGTGATTATGATGTACTTTCAATTAAATTAGCAAAATAAAACACCTTGTTTTTATCTCTTTATTTCTTTATTCATTTTTGTTAATCCTCACCGGAGAATATTTTTCCCATTGACTTTTTAAAACTTTTTTAAAAATATGTATTTTATTGATTTTACAAAGAGGAAAAAAGAGGGATAGAGAGTTAGAAACATCGATGAGAGAGAAACATCCATTAGCTGCCTCCTGCATGCCCTCTACTGGGGATTGAGCCCACAACCAAGGTACATGCCCTTGACCAGAATCGAACCCAGGACACCTCAGTCTGCAGGCTGACACTCTACCCACTGAGACAAACCAATTAGGGCTCCATTGATTTTGTTTTAGAGAGAGTGGAAGTGAGAGGAGAAGAAAGAGAGAGAGAAAAACCGATGTGAGAGAGACACATTGCTTGGTTGCCGCCAGCCTTTGCCCCTGCCAGGGCCAGATTCAGACCTGCAACCCAGGCACATGCCCTTGACTGGGAACAAACCCAAAACCCTTCAGTGCGTGGTTGTTTAGTGGACTATTTTCTAAAATTAGGCACCTTAATTAACATTTTTATTTTTTTCAAAGCTCACTTTAATCTTTAAGATTATATCTGGCATTTCTCTGTTCACCATACACATCTTTCTTATGATTTTCCTGGTAGTGGATCATTTGAATCATAACTTTCAATGGAATAATATAAAAATGAATATCACAAGTAAATGATAATTTTTTTGTGTAGTATCATCCGAGAGGATTGGGGGCAAATTTTACATTTATGAACATTTAAGCATCTTCTATATTTTGCTCCAGGAGGTTCAATAACTAGACATAATTATTTCTGCGTGGGTCACACATACTAAATTCAATCAATGAATAAAATTTACATTTAACAGTAGCACAACAGGAAAAAAATAAAGTTAGGCTTAAAAGAGAGCATAATTTTTCAGCTTTCCACATTTTACATTCATATCCTTTCCTCACTCCCTGCAGCTTAGAAATTTTATATTATCTTGGTTAATCACCTTCCTCCATGCAGTTTATAAACAAGCATTAGAGTAGGGATAAAGATAAGAGAAAATAAACAAATGGAAGTGCAGTCTCTATTCACACTGCTTCCTCGGTGCTGGAGTAGTGATTCTGTGAATTCCTATTAAAGTAAAGCTGATTGGGTTCCAAATTCTCTAGTTTGTGGTTAGCTACCTAACATCCCACCACCTGCAGGGAAAACTACGTTTGCTTTTGACAGGGAAGAAACACAGAGCAAATAACTTCTCAGAGATTGGCAGAGGGCTTTGAGATGGGAGCACAAAAGGGATAAATTCAAAACGAGAAAAGAGACCAGATAAACAATAAATGGATTTCTTTGTGAAGTCAGCTTGTTGAAAACAAAGTAAATTTGGGAATTCTACAATTATCTGATCAATTTTGATAGTGCTGTCAGTCGTGATTATTCAGTTCCCCAAATCTATACTGATTATTGATCCAGTCAAAGTTCGCCAAAAGATAGATTTGGGAAGAGGAATTCAGCGGGAAGAAATTAGGCTATATATATATTTAAACATTTCCAGTTTGCTCTCAGAAATACCATACAAGTAACAATGCCTGCCAGAGTGCATTGTGAAGATAATCACCTGCCCATCTGTGTAATTAGTGCCTTTCCCCAAATTCCCACTTCGCCAAATGCCTATTTTATTCAGGTAAATGGGTAGTTTCTTTTCCTTGTCACTGGGCTAAATCATGCAAAATGTTTCCATTGGTATTCAATGGAAGAGGAGGGATGTTAATTTGGTAGTAGAGGGAGAATGCTAGTATAGCAGAATTTTGTATTCAAATTTCTATTCAATCTAAGAATCTATAAAAATATTAATAATAATAAAAAGGTAATATGCTAATTAGACAGGACATCTTCCAGATGTCATGTCTTCCAGATGTCATTCCGGACGTCCTTCCTGACCAACCCAGGGATGGAGGGAAGCCAGCCGGGGTCCTGGGTGCCTGGAGGCAGCTGGAGAGGGAAACACCCTGGGACCCGGGTGCCTGCTGGTGGCTGGAGGAGGGAAGCTGGGTCCCGGGTGTCAGAGGGAAGCTGTTGCCAGCAGCCGAGGGAAGGAAGGCCTACTCTCGCATGAATTTTCATGCGTCGGGTTTCTAGCTATTTAATAAAAGGAAAAGGAACCTTCACACATGGTTCATCTAGCGGTTTCTACAGCTTTTATTGCAGGTATTGTGGGAAAGTTGTGCTACATCTTGCAAACACATTTGGAAACCATATCGTGTGCTATAAATGTAAGATACTGTGTAACCAGGTCATTGTGCTAAGTAAAGCTTCTAAGTTAACTAGATGGAACTCTTTCCAATCACTCGGAGATGGTAGAACAATCAAATCTAAGCCTTGGGATTAACACATGCAACTTTGTCGGCCCGCTTCATGTTCATCTTTGTTCTAAAGTGTATTACTGTAGTTTTACACGTTTGAGATTTTTCAAAAAATGATCTTAAGAATGCAATTTCAGGGTGAAGAAATATGTTTGGTAAATCTACACAGAGAGTTTAAAGGAAGAAGAGACAGTGCATTCATTTTATATACTGTTCCATTGATTTATGTGCTGATGTTTGATTCTCATCATTAGAAAAGCAGAAGCCAAATGAAAGCATTTCTTCACACCATTTCTTCTCCTTATTACAACTTGACGCAGACTTTTCACCATGCTCATTCTTCTTAAAATTTTTGTTTATTGACTTTTTAGAGAGAGAGAGAGACATCAGTCAATCTGTTGTTCTACTAATTTATGCATTGTCGGTTGCTTCTTATATGTGCCCTCACCTGGGATGGACTCTTAATTCCTTCTTTAGAGAAGGAAGGCTAGAGCCAAAATTAATTTGTAAGGACACCTTTGATTTAAGAAAGAATATGCAAGTCTATATAAATTCTTTTGAATTTTTATCCAAGACAGGGAAAGAATGGTAGGGAAACTTCAAGGCAAGCTTCCTCAGAATGGTTATTTTTTTCACATTAGTCTATTTTAGCAGTACTGTTGTGAGATGACACAAAAATCCCATATAATCTATTCATATAAGGGGGGCAAAAATGGTTTACAGTTGTGAGTATAAAAGTTTATTCTTGCATTATTACATATTAATAATTGTATAATTTTCATACAAACAACTATAAACCTACATTTGCCCCACCCTGTATAGAAAATAATTTTTCTCCTTTAAATTTCTGAGTTGGGTTGGAGAAGAGAAGTTGCTTGCTTAAATAGATACCAATTTCATACACAAAGAAGATAACCAGTATAATTAGATACATAATCTGATAACAAAGAGATAATAGAATAACTAAAAAAAAAAAAAGATAGCAAACCATTAAAAAATATAACAAGTAAAGAAAGCTCAACCAGCCAAAACCGGCTTGGCTCAGTGGATAGAGCGTCGGCCTACGGACTGAAGGGTCCCGGGTTT